GTCACAACGGCCAAAAACACTGGTGTTTCAATTGCATGTCGCATTTACAAACGGAAGAAAAGTTAACCGGGCACAAAGAAGATTGTCAAGGCTTAAACGTTCCCCGCATGTAAAGTTGAAATGCCGGCCGAAGGTGAAAATATACTCAAGTTTAAAAATTACAAAAATAAACAAGACGCGCCTTTTGTCATTTACGCCGATTTTGAGTCGGTTTTGGAAAAACTATCGCCAGCTAAATCAAATACTCTCAAAACACAGATTCACAAGCCTTGTGGATACTCCTACGCGGTCGTCAGATGCGATGGAGTTTGCACTAGCCGAAAAACATTCAGAGGTCAAGACGCGGCTGTTGATTTTGTAGAGTCACTTTCTCGGGAAGAAGAAAAAATAAACGAAACGTTTAAAAACAAACACCCGTTGATTTGGTCACCCGAGTTACAAAAAATCTACGAAAATTGTCATAGATGTTGGATCTGCGAAAAGTTGATAGATCGAGCGAAAGCGACCAGAGGGAGCGACGAGCGTAGCGAGCATCACCGAGCGGATGAATCTCACTGTCAATGTGATATTCCAAAACCACCAGAGACAAAAGAAGAAAAAAATCAAGTTTTGTCATATAGTTAAAGTTGAAGGTAAAGATAAAGAGTTCAAAGAATGGGTATGTTTGGATCGTAAAAAGCCCATTAACAATTTTAGAAAGGTTAGAGATCATTGTCACGTGACGGGGAAGTACCGAGGCCCAGCGCACGCTAGTTGTAATCTCAAGTTAAGAATAGTGGTCGATCAACCACCCATTCCGGTGATTTTACATAATCTCGAGAAATACGATGCGCACTTGATTATGCAAGGCGCTCACGAATTTTACGGGAAATCAATTAAGTTGATCGCTAAAAATACCGAAAATTACATTTCGTTTTCTTTTGGCCAACTCAGATTTTTAGACTCCTTTCATTTCATGGCGGCCTCCTTATATCGGTTGGTTAAAAACTGTTCACCCGATGATTTTAACTTACTTTGCGAAAGGTTTCCAGAAAACACAAATTTACTCTTGGAAAAGGGAATTTACCCCTATGAGTATATAGACTCCTTTGATCGGTTCCAAGAGAGACGGCTCCCGCCAGTAGACGCTTTTTATAGCTCTCTGAAGCAGGGGGGAATAACCGAGCAAGAATACGCTCGTGCAGAGACAGTATGGGAAAAATTTAATTGCCGAAACCTAGGTGACTATCACGACCTATACGTGGAAAC